TGAACAAGTTAAACCTGGATTCAATTATTTGTTTATAGAGTCCAAACTGCCGCGCAGTTATAATTTTTGGAAGCATGAACTTATGAAATACATCTCAGTTCGATTTAAGCGTGGCGCTTTTATACCTCTCGAATGCATCTCATTTTTGAGCTACCTTCTGTATGCTCATTTCCTTTTTTTACGAACCAGAATTTGTCATGAAAATTTGGGAAGGCTTGTCAAGACGTCATACATTCGGAGAACACTGGTCGCTATAGTTACTCTCAAAGACCAAAGATTTTTGAAAGGTTAGTGAGTCCTTTTTGAAGTACATGGTCAACGTACCTTTTTGAGAGACAAAAACAAATGTCACTCACTTTTTCAGATCTTCTCCTTGCTAAAAAATCAAGTGAAATTCACAATCTGAAGCTTCTAGAGCTCATTTCTATTCTGTTCTTCTACTCTAAGCCACCGCATATGTTTCGGAATACTTTTTGTCCGGAACACAAAGAACTCAGAGCAACCTGTGTCCCTATAACTGCTGTTCGGGTGCGCTATGACTCATTGCTCAAACCCTATGATTTACAACTTGAACGCTCAACCAAGTGTTCACAAATGTTAACATTCTTATCTATGATGTCAGGTTGAGCACACACTTGACTCATATCCGCTCTTTTATCAGTGTTTTGTCCTAAGTTCTCAGTTCTGAGCTCCAGCCTTGGGTGAGGATGGTATTTATAGTAATCCTCACTTTTCTTGAACTCTAAAGGATGTACTTTTTTATTTTAAGAATCCCATTTATCTGAAAACTGGCATTGTCTTCGCAAACACTGCATGTCTCTGATTATCCATTTTTGTGGACTCAAGAGTCTGCAAATTTGCATTATCGTGTTTTTGTTTACTATTTTAATGTTTTGAGAACATACATACTCTTGCTTCTGATTTACTATTCTTTGTTTTTGCCGTGGAATGAAAAAGCAGTAAATAAGCCCCGCGGAATTAATTACTCGCACTTGAGACGTATACTGATGTGATTGTCGTTTCTGAAGAGGTTCAGAAAGGTCAATTGCCAGGGGGGAGGGGAGATCTGTGTTCTAACGGCTCCTCAGTTCCGTTAGGTTAAATTATTGAGCTGAGCTAAAACTCCAAGATGGAGAGGGTGTTAGTGGGTTTGTAACGGAGCATAGGGAAAGTGGGTTACGTTAGTGAATCAACTTGTTTAGAACCACCATAGGGGCTGATAAATTGGAACTATTTTTTCTTGGTGATCGAACACCTAATAACGATATTAACAATAATGACAGATGGTTGTTGATTTTTCTTTACTTTTTGCTTTTTGCTGGTTTTTGATTTTTTCTTCCCACCTGTTTAACAGCCACTGAACATGTGTAAAATCTTTACTCTTACTTCAGTGTGAAGAATTTCAGTTTTTATTGAGCAAGAATTTTTGCATCATAGAATAATTTTTAATCGAATTTGAGCATACTAACCGGTTCCAGAGAACACTTACCTTTGCCATCAAACTTTCCCAAACAAAACATGCAAATTCTTGAATTTTCCAATCCCCTTTCTCCCAAATTTCGCAACCCATATCCTCAAGGCAGCTTCCTTTTTTCTTTTCTGTCTTGTGTATTCTCAGGCTCGTGCTTAGTAATTTTCTCTCATATACTCGGGTTTTATGTCACAGCACAGCTGACACTTTGGCTCATTGCTCGGTTGTGAAGTCCTAGAGCAATGCTAGTGATTTATCTGGCAACTGTTTGGCTTTCCATCTGGGTGGGCCGTGTGACGGGAGATATTAGGTCATGTGTCTTTCATATTTCGTTCATTTTTTCCGAAATTTTGATTGATTTTTAGGTGATATTAGTAGGTTGTGAAATTTTTACATATAACTTGTCTCTATGTGTAAAGTAAATTGGTCTTTAGCCTTGCAAAATCAAATCAGCTCGCAAAATACTTTTTCAGGAGACACACCAATCCTGTTTTTGATTTATTGGTCAAGCATCTGGAAGTAATTTAGGCATATGAGAATTATACATGTAGCATGTTTCTGTTTGTATAAATCAATAATGGAAGTAAGCATAGATTTTATACATTTGTTTGCTGATTTTGATGGTTGGCTCACGCCACGCCCCTTCTCTAAATCTCGCTTCTTAAAGATTTAAGAAAAATTGAAATTTTTTTTAGCGCGCCTGATCACGTCCTCTATGAAAATTTGCCAGCACGGGTTCTTCCCCCCCCCCCTTCCTCCTGTATAGTTCTAATTTATACAGTACATGTTGGTTATCCAAGCTCATTCCATGTTTTGCGAAGGTGTGACAATTAACTATCGTTGCAAAAACTGATCTCCCCCCCCCTCCTCCCCACCTCCCCTATTTTTTCCACCCACCCTCACGCGAAATGACAGAAGTACGGCCCCCGAGACATCTATCATAAGACGAGCTTTTTCTTGGCAACCTTACACTTTCATTTTCTTTCGTGACGTAGTGTGATTTTGCTGCATGTGATTGATGATCTTGTTGGATTTGTTGGACAAGTTTCCATATCTTTTTATATTTGGAAATTTTTGTGCCTAGAATTTAACGATAGATTATACTTATAGATTACCGCTTAATAGATTATGTGTCAAATATGATTCGTCTGGGTGTTTTCTCCCAGCAAAATTGATAAACTTTCCCAAAAATCCTTTACCACCTCACATGTCAAGCAATTTCACACACTGATGCTTTTGCTGATGCGAAAAAAGGGCATATTCTCATCAAAGCGCGAATTTACGATCATATGGGACGTGCAGCTGCTCGTCTCATCAGATTTGCACCGGTCTTTGAACTTTTATGTGCCGTAGCGGGGCTTCCTCGTGATCAACTCAGATTTCATCTGCTCGATTTGTTTGGGCCGCAGAACTTTTTTTCGGACCTTCTCTTACCAGATGGTGAAAAAAAAGCGAAACAAAATTTCTGTGCCAAAATTGGATTGTTTTGGCTTGGTAAATTCCACTTCCTAGCCATTTAAAACTTTCACAATTATCTTTTTTCCCAAAAAACCTATATCGACTCTCATATCTCGTCGAAGTCGAAAAATATCGTTTTTCATAACGTTGTCAAAGCTGTTGTCATGAAATTGTATCCATCCCCAGACGTGAATTCTTTCCACTTCGTCTGCCCACTCCCACACCGACCCCTCTTGATATCCTCTTCATCGCTTTTTATCATGGAAACAAGTTATCTTGCTAGTTATATTCCTTCGCAAAATCCTGTTTATATGACATTTAGCGAAGAGAAAAGCTTAAACGGCTTTTGTAGATACTTTGTGGAATAATTGCTTTATTTCAACAATTATGTGTTTTCAAATGTATTTGTTTTGAATTTTCTTACATCAAGATTACAGCTTATGCTGACGTTTTGCTATTGTTGATTGTGTTAATCCTGAATGTTTTTATTAAAAAAGTCAAGTTAATCTATTCAATTGCTCTTATCTTGTTTATTGCTGACATTATTTGTTCAAGCTACCCGACTTGTGATATCAACAAAATGGAAGACTTCAAAAGCCGTTATTTTTCGAAATTTTCCTAACTCCCCATAACTTTTTTCGTATGTTATTCTTCTTGATTCATGAATGATATCCTTCACAGCAAGCTAGAATCGAATACAATTAAGTGTATAGATTATCTTCTAACAGGTCTACAATCTAGAAATAAAAAAAATGTTGCAGTACACCTTTGTATAGTAAAATGCTGGAGTACCATGCTAAAATTCTACCAAAATTATTACACTTTTTGCAGAATGAATTTGAATCAGAGAAGTCACTATGCTTGAGCTGAACTCCTATAGACCAATCTTTTCAATAGAATGTTCATCCTCAGTAACCTTGACTAACATCAGTAATAGAAAACGATTCAACGAAAAATGCTTCAATGTATCTTCACTGTATCGCCACCGTAAAATATCACGGCACTTTTATCACCGTAAAGCTTTCGTTTTTCTCTCATTCTATAAGCTAATGGTCTGAAATGCATAGCCATTGACTCATCACTTTGTCCCGTCAAGAAAAGTGCAACATTTACGATTTAGCGGTTGGCATCCCTGGTGCATCATCATTTACATCGGGGCACCATCCGATGTTCTTTGTTTCGCTTGCACGCTAAAAGTCTTCTTGTGAACCAAAAGTAGAATAAAACCCAGTTGTTTGCGATTTGTTACTTGTTTGTTTGCAATAACAGTTACCTTGGAGACTATGTATATTTTTTTATAGCGCATACATAGTCGTGTTTTTGATGGTTCGTAAGTGCTGAGTTCTTACCAGTATAGAAAAAGTGTTTCCCGCAAATTCAAGTACTTGGCCCGTGTGGAAACTGGCTAGGAAGTTTTCTGAAAACTACAAATGGCAGCTAATATGATTCGTTCACAGCCTAAAAATTCAACTCAAAAGTCTAGTCCATTACCTTAATTTTCTCTAGAGCACGATAACTGACGAAAGTTGAAAGTCTTGTACCAATATCTCAGCCATGAACAATCTCTGATTCATCAGTCGTTATTTCTACTGATTTAAGAATCCGTGCCGCTCTATAGCTGATAAAGTATATCAGTTCCGAGAAATGCACCTCGAAACTCTCGTCCATTACCGTAATCTCGTCTCAAAGCACGGTAACGGGCGAAAGTTCGGATTATATCCTAGCTATGTACTATTCTTAATTCATCAATCGTTATATCTACTGATCTAAGGGAACATCCCGCTACAACTGATATACTTCCGAGATCAACTTCGAACTCTTGCCCATTACCGTAATTTCTTCTCGGGATACGGTACTGAGTGAAACTTGAGAGTTAAGTATCTCAGTCATGTACAAAATTTATACATTAGTCCCTATTTCTACTAACAAAGGAACCATCTCACTTTACTTCATCAGCTTTTTTACTATTTTTTCTTCATTGTGCGTCGCCTCCACTTGTACTGAATACGCATCGCCGGAAGATCTGATATCACGCTTCACTGAACTCTGAAATAACCTAGGCTAATTTCAGGATGCCTCCTTCATTGGGCCCGATATCACTATTGCCATCTTCCCAAGAGTCCAAGTATGAGGAGTATTTTTTGCCAAAGGTGAGTAGGGAGAGGGGCCTAATCATCGTTTTTTCGAAAGTTTTCAACCCCGATGTAAAGGTAGTGATATTTGACATTGTGGTGTGGTGGCTAAAAAGAACTAATTAGCAAAGGGTATATGTGTATCAATAAAAAAATCCACTTATTTTTTTATTTTCGTCATGTTTCCCCTTGGAGCATATAATCTACATTCCTTATTTGATGATTCAAACAACAAAAGTGGGCGTTGTTCATTCGAATGACATTTAAGGCATGACTTAATCAGTTTCGGAAAGTGGCTTTTCTAAGGAAAATCATCATGAGAAGTCATAGGACTAGGGAAAGAGTCACAATCAAAAATTCGCTAACAGCGCCCGTGGATACGATCTTATAGACTTTTCCCATCGTATCAAATTCTTGTGACTGTATTTCTCTGGTCATGACTTTTCCAACAACAATCATTCGTAAATCAATAATCTCTCGCCTTTTGTTTTTCAAGAAAATCGAGGTGAGTGGAAAGCAGGGTTAAGCTTCTTTGCAACGCGAATAGCTGAAAAGAGATTGTGGGTGGGGGGGGGGGGTACTAGGGATTGAAGGGGAATCAATATACGTAGAAATCAAGTAGAGTGAGATATGGAATATGTTGTCGGGGGCCCAGCCTACCCCGCCCACTTTCATGCTCTGATGAAATGCCACTTTTGAGCTTTCATATCTCAAGCCTTGCTTGATCTGAATTCAATTGCCAATATTTAGCATTTTATTTGAGGAAAGTGGGGAGGGGGGGGGAGATTTTTTGGAAAAGGAGTTGACAAAGTTTTATCTTGGTTTCTTCTAACGCCATAGTCATAATCTACTACTTTCAGGTATCAAACCAATCCACCGTATCGCGGCGTCATATATGTTATTTGCTCATTTCTCTAGGAATTTTTGCCTTTTTGCTCAAAATATTGATATACAACCAGCCTACAACCAAATATGACAGGTTAGAAACTTTCGAATCAGAAGTAGGTATTTCTAAAATAGTTCTTGCAGAAAAAGTGATCCAGAATTGCTGCAATATATCTATACTTCATCAGCAGCACGACGGTTACCTAAATCTGGCCAGCTGTTTTGTTGGGTGCAAACGGCAAAAATTTACCATGACACGAGAGTGAGTCAATTGGAAATTCAATAATTTTTTTTTCCGAAATTCTTCTCTTCAAGGCCTTGGCCATCAATGAAACTTGGCTTTCTCGTTGTGATCATGGAGAACTGTTCACCGGGGACTTTTTTCCCTCCGATGATATCCCATATTCCACGGTATTCGCTGGCATACCCGACTCCTACTATAATTTGTTCTACAAAAGCCGTTATGCATTCTACTATATCTACCATTTTGTTTCTAAGAATTTTGACTGGTACCTGAAGGTTAGTTGCTTTTTTTTTGTGCAGAGTTGGTTTTCTAGTCAGAGAGTTGTTTTCAGGCTGATGACGACACCTATGTGATAGTGGAACATCTTAAAGAGTATTTATCAACTCTTGATCCAAATAAACCTTACTACCTTGGTTACGTACTTAAACCTTACCTAGTGGGTAACGCATTTCTTCTTCAAAAATTTTATTAATATAGTCCCTTATGCCTCAAATTCTTCTGATTTTTGCTCTCCAGGAACATGGCTACAACGCTGGTGGAGCTGGTTACGTGCTTTCCAGAGCGGCTGTAAAGATTTTCAACGATCTCCTCTATCATAATGAGGAATTATGCCCGGATAATATCTACGAAGATGTTGGGATGGGAAAGTGAGTGCTAGAAAATACTCCTAACACGTACAAGCCATTCATGTGTTCCCGCCCAGTACCTTAATTTCAAGGAGACCTGCTTGTCTGAATACGGTGCTGGGCGAGAGTTTACATAAGGCTGTAGGTGCTGGATTTTTGTAGCAGCGAGCTGTTTGTGTGTTGAAAAAATTCTAACTTAAATAATGCACTTTTTTAAAGATGCCTTGGAAATGTTGGAATTTTCCCGCATGACACTCGAAATAGTCGGGGACAAAATCGTTTCAATACTCATACACCGAGTGACATGTTCCATGCAAGAAAGTATAGCCCTCTTTGGACATTTTTTGAGGAGAAGAAGGTAATTTCTACTTTGATTAAGCTTGGAATTCTCAAGTATTTTTGTTTTGCAGGGCTATGAAGCGTTTGCCAATGACGTCATCAGTTTCCATCATTTAACACCCGATGAAATGCGTACCTTTGACATACTTCTGTACAGGACAAACAAACCATCTAGGAATTTCTTGCGGAAGTCATAATATTCAAGTTTGGGATAGCTTAATTATGTAAAATTCTGTAGATATTTGAGTATCTAAGTACATTCTCTAGCTTTAATATGATGGTAGTGTATTTTGGGTAAGGCAAGCCTTTTCAATCCCCTCTCTTTTTACGTTTTTGCATATCTACGAGTTCCATGATCTGCTGATATCTATACTTTGATTATGCTAGACACTCGATTATGTTCTTAACTCAGGAACGAATACCCTGCTCTTTCTAGGATCTCACGAATATTGTGTCAATATTTTTGTGTATCCATTGGTTCCTGCTTTCCAACGGGTCTAATGAATGAAAATGAAAAATTAGCTCTTTTATGATATAATTGCGCCTGTGATATGATTCTGTTGTTGTGTAACTCATTTCTTGTGAATTTCAAACGTGCAAATGAATGTTTGCCGATTTTTTCTGATAGAAAGTCATTGCACCTTTGGTGTACCAAGCCGGTACCATTGCGTTATACAACTGTTTATTATAGTTGGAGGTGCAGCCGCTGACTATTAACAGTGAATATGCGGAGGAGCCGCTTACGTTAGTGCTAATGTATCGAACCAACAGCAGAACTGAGTAGTCGGGCCCTTTTATGCCACTATTTTGGGCGTGGATAGTCTGAATGCTCATTGCTGGCAAACAACAGTGTCATACAGAATCAAGGATTGCCTACGTGATAGTGGCGCTCCAAGTAGACTATCAAGCATAGTAAAGGCGTGAATTGGCTGCTTAAGTGCTCACTGAACAGTAAGTTTGTCAGCGAAAAGCTGGTGACACTAAACTTAACACAGCAGGATGATTCTACAATAGTAAAGGTCGCAGTTTGCCCCTATGATCAAGACTCGGCTCAGGGAACCCTAGAGCAGCCTTTATCTATGGGGTTTCTTCTAACAAATTTCGCACTTGCAGTATGGAACAGCTTTGTGGAAATCATGGTTTACGAAGGGAATACAGCAAATTTAGGGCAATAGGAAATACAGGTGCGAAAAAGCGAAAAAGTGCTGTCCCTCCAAATAATCCCGCAGAAGCGGGTCAGAAAAGTGAACTTTACAGAATTTATATATTGCTATAACGACAACAAAAGAATAGAATGTACATACTGTAGGTCCTCTTATCTTTGAACCTGGGCATCTTCGTGATCATGTGCTACTAGGGTGAACGGCAAAAATGTTACAGCTTGATTTTTCATGAGATTTTTTGTTTTGATCAAGGACAAGCAGGCTGCAACTTGAACGTCGCTTACATAAGCGACCTTCACCTATTATTCTGGTATCGTGTTAATGCTCCTCTCCCACAACCCTGCGACTGCGCCGTGAAGAACTTGAACAGGATTTTTAGAACATCTCTCAATCTTGCACTGCTATACCGTAAAGTCATAATGCAGGTGACAAACGCTTCGAAAGAGCTCTTCATGCTCTTTCAAATGGTATATTGATTATAAAGGATTCATTTTTATTTCCAGATAAAAAAAGGCAAAAAACTTGAAAAATTGCAATTTATCATGCTTCAATCTATATATTTCGGAGATAGATGAAAATTGGTATAAACACTAACTGCGTATGGATGGATAGAGCGTAAAAAATGCTATCAGATGGTAGCCAAAAAGCATCGTTCATTTGCAAGGCAGTAAATAACACATATCTCGTTTTCGAAAATGCTAGTGACTTATCTCCTGACTTAGAACTTGCGGTCAGCAAGCCATCGTGGGTTTAGTGGTTGTACTTTCACCCATTGCAGCAGTGGTACCTGTGTAGACGTTCTCTCATGTTTCACTACGCAGATACTGCTTAAGGTTTGTAATTTGATGAAGTGGCCAACTGTGCGTTCCAGCAAGTATGATAATTATTAGGCATAAACGGCCGAATATAGGTACTTGTGTCGGGACGCAGCTCAGCTCAGCTCAAATAGCTGCTCTCCCGGGGGCTGGCCACGGAAGCCAGTCAGGATCAGTGGCCCTCTACGACCGTGCACCGTAAGGCTGCTTCTACAGTCTCTCCCCTCGTCCCTTATTGTAACATAATATGTAAATAATAAATATATGTAAAAAATCCTTTTCGTAACTACCAAATTTTGCCCCTATGTTGGATGCACAATATTGTGCAACACTCAATTCAACATTTGATGCCACTTTGATTTGTATGAACAAATGCCTTGTATGCTGTAGAATACGTCACTCACGTTACATTACCTTCTTAAGTATATTCCAAGTAATATCACGAATCAACGTCGTTTAGCTTATTTGTATGACATAAACTCCAAAAATGACTATTGTATTTCAATTCTGCCTAATATACAGTCAACTATTTTGTCTCATCAACACTGTTTTTTAAATTAAAATGTTCTACAACAAATGCCCTTCCAATTCATAACTTCATCGTCTGAACCTCCAAATACCGTCACTCCTATAAATCTCCAAAGCAACTATTACCTTTGTCAATTTTCGGGAATACGTTCTATCACCTTCTACAACTATATGTCACTGCCTCTTCCAAGCAGTCCCCTACGTCACATCGCTCATTCCGTTTCTCAGCTTGAGAACAAGCTTACTCTATACCCCCAGGATGAGGTGAAGGTCGTGTTTGGTTATCCACTCCGCCTAAACCAACTCCTCTACTCAATCAATCTGAAGATAATGGTACCGTAATCGAAGTTCTCTATGGTCTCGCCGTAACACGTGTACTCTTTACACACATAACTCGGAAGACATTCAGCAACCATCAAACAAGCTCGAGGACGAGCTTTCTAAAGGAATGGAGATGTCGGGACGCAGCTCAGCTCAGCTCAAACAGCTGCTCTCCCGGGGGCTGGCCACGGAAGCCAGTCAGGATCAGTGACCCCCTACGACCATGCACCGTAAGGCTGCTTTTGCAGTCTCTCCCCTCGTCCCTTATTGTAACATAATATGTAAATAATAAATATATATATATACCTACCTGTACCGCTACACATCAGGTAAGGGGATCGCGAACCCTTAATCCTGACAGAAAGAGAATGGTATATTCTAGTATCTATCAAAATTGGAAATTCCAATCGTTTTTTAAAAGAGAGAAATCTACAGTTAGTCTCTAGATGTCCCATACCGTTCACCCTAGTATTACAGTTTTTATTGTGTAGTACGGATTAGCATAGGTGATATACCTTTTTTGCCTGCCGTTTAGGCTTGAGCCTAAAGAGATTGAAAAAGCGTCGGTCACTTTGATACACGTACTTGGTCGTCAAACATCTGCCCACACTTGTCATTCGATTCATCTAACAAGGAGAGGATACCTAGTCGAAAGCACCAATTAATGAATCATATATCATCTTAAAGCGCTTGAAACGCTGATTCCAAATCTATAGTTTCTAGCTGCACGGTTCTGTAGAAGGAGGTATGAGGGGTGTTCCCCTGTGGGGTTGGGGCGCCTCCAGCAGGTCTTCGCTTATCTATGAGCACTGTAGAGGAGTACCAACTGGTGGTAACTGGCCTAGTGGTTGCTTGATAGGGAAAATGTTAAGATTTTAGTCCCTTCGCATGCAATTTTACCGCAATTTTGCAAAATTGAGCTTCTAAATGGCTTTGGAGCCCTAAGGCCTGACAATTCTGTTGATATTGATGCTAATCAAAGGTTAGAAGTGTTAAAGAACCAAAGTAATATGAGTATTATAATCCTTATTGTAATCTTCATTCGGATTACTCACCATTACACCATTTTGTGTTTCTATAATGCTCGTAGACAAGAGCCGACATCTAAAGGGCGCCTCAACCCCAGAAGGAAACACCCTTTATAACTCTTTCTACAAAACCGTTCCGCAGCTAGAAACTACAGATTTGTAATCAGAGTTTCAAGCGCTTTCAGGTGATGTATGTCTCCTTTGGATTGGTGCTTTCGACTAAGTATCCTCTCCTTGTAAGGTAAAAGTAGGGGGTATACTGGAGCAAACCTACTCACCAAGTATATCGCGGTTGTTTTGATTGCAGCCGCTCGTGATGTCGATCGAGTGCGATGTAGAAGGAACGGCCAGGACACCGTGAAACTGCTTAAGTACGAGCAGACGATCTTACACATAGAGTACGATAATACGGCATCGAGTCACTCGTTGTAGACAGTTTCTCTTTCTTGCCATTCTTGGATCGCGAGCAAAAATGTAGGAGTCTTCTAAGGGTTTCCATGCTGAAATCTTTTGTTGAGTCAAAATCTTGGAACTGATCTCCTAGTCTCCACCGCCGTGCTCTGTCATTTTATGTTTTCTGATTAGACTTACTATGCTTTGCCGCTCCTTACTATAATAGATGAATGCTCATAATGCGTACACTCAATGGCCACCCAGTCTTACCTAATAGATGGCGGAGCACTGTATGCATTCAATTTGATACACTACGCCAGATATTGTGCGATCTCCTGGGGCGGTATCTATCAATCCCCCAATAGATGTTCGGGCCATTATTAACGAGCCTGGGCAGGCGAGAACGCCATATGATTTATGAAAGTTTGGGGCGCGCGGTCTAAACGGGCAGCAGAGCCCGACCTGTCGAGATGGGGCACGATCGGGCATCTGCCGTGCCCGAGGCCAAACTTGCCAGATCGGACCATATATTCAAACAGACAGGAGCCCGATCACCAGCTCGGCTTCGTGTGTCGCGGGAGCCAGTGCCCGCGCCTATACGGGCTGTGAGCTGTACAGGAACCTCTTCCCATAGAAGAGATCGATAAATACCCCTCCCCTGGTTTTCCTTATGGGCAAACTGCACAGTTTCGTGAGAAATAAGCTCTATCGTATAGTATAGTCTATTATGTACTTATTGCTGTTCGATATTGTCTTGCGGGATATTCACTAAGACAACATCTTTCTCAAGCTGCGCTTGTCCCAGACATAGCTTGTTTGCGGTAGTGACCCCTTCAGAGATGTAAGGCAAGCATAAAGGAGTTTTGTTGGTAGTACCTTATTCGTTTGTTTTTATTGCACTTCTTTTTGATCGTCGGGGCCATATAGTGTATCCATCTGAGGCCATGAGTTTGGCTGCCAGTTTTAGTGATTCTGGCCTCTCGTTTTGCCGCTGCATATAGTTGCTGCTGGACGAATGACGGCACGTTTTACAGCTTCTGGGTGTGCGCATTTCGCGTTCAAGATATATTTTTATTACTTTCCTTGCGAAACCACTTCACTTGAATCGCTCCGTGGGCCAACTTCAGCTGTGTGTTTAAGAACTGTAGCCAGCCTTCATGTGTTTTTCTCTCGTGAAGCTTATGTATTGAGACTGATAATTTAGAATGATTTAGCAGCAGAAGATATCAAAATTTACGGGATTTATGACAGAAATGACCATCACGAAGTTATTCTGCAATGACGAGATCGTTGGATCAGATGGCATACTGGGCTTCTAGCTTTGATATCCCATTAAATTCGATGAGATGT